CATCGAGAAAAACTGCTCATCGTATGTTCATGGTTCGACCCGATCAGAAAGGTTTTTATCCATTTTCTCTTCGGATATAGCTTAAAATTGGCTTTTTTTTTGCCCGGAAAACGTCATTTTCCGACATTACTGGTGCTCAGGCTTGGAAGTCGAGATAACAAATCTTAATCATGCGACAGTAGATAGGTTCTTCCAGCTTGACCACAATCTCTCTTCTGGAGTATAAACGATAAAGCTGCTCATTAAACGTATTTGTTTCTGAAAACGAGATGAAGTCAACTCCTCCTCATACATTTTAGCAGATTCTGAGATGTTCAATATTGGAATTTGAGCATTGACCGAAAATTTGTACTATCTTCACTAACTTTTCCTGGCCGAATTTCGCTTGGAAAGTATCTTTCTCAGGGGAATCTACCCATTATATTGCTTAGATGATTGAGCTTGAATTCTTTCTGCGCTGCTCAGAACCCTGCGTTTATATTTTTTTTAGTACAAAAATTAAATAGGGTCTGCTTCCCACATCGAATGTGCACCGAATACTAACGGTCAAAGCACAGAAGGCTGATGTATTCAGTGTGGCAGTCTTCTATAGAAATCTACTTACTTGACCTATCAACAGAGGGGTGATGAATCAAGTGGAAGCCTGATAGGCACTGGTTTTATTTTTATGCATTTTGATATTTTCAATGCTAAAATCGGAATGGATCTGATGCAAGATAACAACTGGAACATACGAAAACATAAAGCTAAACAAACACACAGTGAGCCGAGGTTGGGAACTTGAAAAACTATAGGTAGCCATTCCACTGAAGGGCCTATGAATATACCCTTCAGTCTGGTTCCTTCACATATGTATAATAGCACACGCCTTTTCCAGGTCTTAGTGGATATCCCAGTGTCAGTGGCTTTAAGAAATTGGTAATCTCAGAAATTGTTGTCCAAGCATTGTGGACGCTTTCGATGTTTGTAGGTTTTTTTTTNTTTTTTTTTCGATGTGACTACACTCGGCAGATTTCATCGATCTCTTAATCTTATTGTAAAATTGCAATTTTAAAGCACTCTGAAATATTCTGAATAAGCATGGATAAGGATTGAATTATAAAGTTTTTCTGCTTTTTTGTTTTCGTTTTGGTATGCCTCCCACGCAATTGCCTTCCATTCGGAATCGTAGTGCATTTTGACAGCGTTTAAGACCAATGTAGCGAATTGCGAGGGTTATCCGATGTACAAGTCAGTCAATTGTCCTCTCAGACGAGTTTGACCTCAATAAGCCAACCCTGGGAAAATGGAAAGCTTCATCAGACTAGGCGAGTATCCATCCGAGGTTTGATCCTCAGATCATGCATATGTGATACAGTGTCACTTTCCACTATATCACCACTGCCTCAAAAACCTGATCGTTATGACAAAATAGTAATCGAAGCTTAGATCCGGGAAGTTTTGATCCCTTTCGGACCATTGAGTCAGCAAAAGAAATTACAAATGAATGAAACTCACCTTTTTCTATGAACCAGGGTGTAGACAACCTGTGTAGAGGAGCGGTGATGGCGTATTCATTCAATAAATCAATCTAATCGACTTGCTTCACCTATTATGCTTAATTCATTTATTTCCGTTCTCAATTCTTATAATAAATGAATCCTTGCTCCTAGTTGGGTCTACGTCAGTATTGATCCTACGTTTGATCTAACTTACTCTAATTCTTGCCGTGCTTTATCTACCGTCACTGATCGCTATGTTTACAAAACCTAAACGTCCCTTATCTTAGCTCAAGGTGAAGAGACCAACATTCGATATTCCTTTCGGCTAGCTCCCCTCTATGCCGTCGCCATTGTGCGTCTTTCTTCTACTGAACGGTGCAGCAGTGGCCGACTTCCTCGTCAAACCGCGTGTAGCAGCCTCGGTCAATTATGACGGTTTGTCGACGATTTGCCAAAATCTATTTATATGAGAACGAGAGGGAAAGACCAAGTGTATTGAACGGTAAAGGGATGTTCCAAAAGTTGATGCCCGTGAGCAGCCGTGACTTAATGAATCGAGCTTTCAATTTGAAGGTGGAAGGTAGGTCCGTTCACGACAGTGGATGATCCATCATGCCGTCAGGCACGCCTCCACAGGTAAGTGAAAACTGTAGGAGCTGAAAAAGTAGTGATTTCAGGTTTCTTACACGATGAAAGTGAGGAGTACTGACCAATTTAACATCAGTAACCGTGGAGNGAAGAATCGCATAATTTCAGACTATTCACTACTGTGCGCCGAGGGAGTCCCGTTACTTATGGAAGACCATCGGCCACGGCCCTGTCAACCCCGTCCTTGGCTGCCCGAGCACAAGTATGCTTCTCGAGCAATTGTCACGTTTTTTCGTTGTGTTTGATTATAGCGCTGAGATCGTTTGCAAACTGTTTCGCAACAGTCCGTCCTGTCTGCAGGTGTCCGGCAAGCTTTTGGTGTCACGAAGGCGATGATGAGTCCAGCTATTATTGCTGTCCGAAGAACAGGAAATGTGGGTTCTTAAAATTTTACTGACCTAAAAAGAGGTTTAAGGAGCATTTGTTGTAAGAGTAAATCTGGTACGGTTGCTCTGTGGTTTAGCAAATGCGGACGTCCAAGATGTTGTCCAGTTTTCGACTAATGAGACTTCCTCAAGAGCCATAGTTTACTGTCAGTGTGAAAAGTAAGAGACCGCTTTCGAGGCAAACTGTGCCATTAAATTCATGTGCGGTTTGCTCGTCACCGCCATGCAAAGCCATGAAACGGTGCCCAAAAATGAATCCGTAGCCACAATCGCCAGGAGCTGTCCAGAACTTGTCCATATTTTTTAGTTGTTTAGTTGAGAACCGCTGCCATCTACCGCCCGCTACTGGCCATGGAACACTTTCGATGCGACGATTCTACTACGATTGGATGAGCGATGGCTGCCATGAACTTCATTACACTGGAATCGGAGGAAATGAGAACAGTTTCATGACGTATGAGAGTTGCGAAGAAGCCTGTAGAGGTGAATTATTTCATGTCTGTATGTTGGCCCTAGTTTTTTCATCGTGCTCGAAGTTATAGCTTTTTTTGGCACTTTTGGTTCCTCCTTCTGGAACTTTTATTTATTCTTCCTAATTTCGAAGTGTTCCCCATAAATAATTCGACGTTCAGGAGCTGGAGAACCAGCGGTCAATCCTCCAGAAGGCTCGAAAATATCGAAGGACAGAAAGCTGACCAAAAAACCATCAACTACAACGACGACAACGACAACAATTTCAACGACGCCTTTGCCGAGTTCGGCAGCTGTAGATACGGTGCTCTCATATTTCACTTGTATAACATAAGTTTATTACAATTTGATGAGGGATACTCTTGTTCAGAGAAGTAACGAGAAAGGTCAGGAGGTTGTGAAGTCTTCAGGCTCAAAGGAAAAGACAGAAGCTAAGCCATCCTGGTCAACAACATCACCACCACCACGGTCTACTACAAGTTAGTACTGGCTTTCTTCATTTTTCCATTTTCCCTTCCTGGTTCATAAGATGTTTTCAATTGGTACAGAACTACTCCTTGACGCCAGATGTAGTATAGGGACAGTCCCCTCTCGAAAACCTCCACATCTTGCAATACTATTTAAGCTGTCCGCAAAGTCACTGAATCCGCGACATCATCGAGTCCTGAATCATATGAAAGCAGTCCGGAGGATGAACAGCTGCAGACCCTTTGGCAGGACACAAATCCTTGTGAAGCTCCAGCCAGTGCAGGATCTCCTGGAGGAATTGCTCGGAAAATGTGAGGTTTCTTCTCTTGACTGTTCTGTCAATCTGTCTCGGAATCGATTCGATTACTGTTCGGCTCACTGTAAATCATACTGTCGTTTAGTAGGCGTCATAATGAACATCCAGACAGAGCTCCTTCAGCTGCTTATATTCTGCTTGGTATTATTGGGATAGGGACTGCGTAATCCCCCGTCACGGCTATCTTTTACATAACTGGCCGTTCCTACATTTCTCCAAAACTTCTGCCCTACTCAAACTCTTACCTGAGGTTTGACTGCGTCAGTGGGGGAGGGGGGAGGGGTTCAAAAGTAATTGGATGTTAACCGCATTTGAAGGGAACAGAAACTTGCTGGATGAGGGGGTCAAGGCAAGTGCATGAGGTAATCAGGCATAATTCCCATAATTCATTACTGTTCAAGGCTCAAAGGATGTCACATTTACGGCCAAACACGTTGGCTTTCGGAAAAGTCCATTTTCAAGTTGTAATCATCGAACCGAGTAAAATAATCCCATATAGTTTAGCACTTATTGAGAAGACTTTCCGCCACATTCCGTCAGCTGCTAGTCACTCTTCGCATTTCTGTAATTCACCAAAATAAAATTTCGAAGATTTCAACATGGATATTGTACGCTGTCTTGGCTGCTTTTATCTCTTGTGTTGGAATTTTTTCTTGATTCAAAATTATTTTGCTTAAAGTGATTCTATGACTTAAATGTGTCCGGATCACGATCTATCCAGAGGTTTATCTTCAGCTGTTACGCCTAAGTGTAGTTGAAACTCATTTGCTGGTTCATCACCACAAAAAATTGGAATAAATCAGCAAGTTCAGGTGGTATTTCGATGAATCAGCGATATCTTGTGTGCCTTTCGTCTTTCTTGGTTCTGGCGGAAATGCAAACCGATTTGCTGATCAGGGAACTTGTATGCGAACCTGTGGAAGTGGTAAGCAACTTATATAATCAAGTCATTGTTGAATCTTTGCAGTACCACTCCTCATTTCCTAGATATATGATCATTCTACCCCTATTTATTTGTTTTTTTTTTGGGTCATCATTAATTTTTCCAGGGAAACCTACTCGTGCTTCATGTGAACTGCCTTCACAATTCGGAAATGGCACTTTCAAAATACCACGGTATTATTTTGATAAGGTGAGCCCTACATAAAATCTCGTTCCATGTTAGAGACCACTCTTATGGTTAGCATATTCGATATTGACAATACGAGCATTCCAAATCCACTAGATTATTATGATGGGATGAATCTGCGAGTTGGGACCAACTTTGACATCAAAATGCTTACCACCTTCCCAGCCGACCTTCTTTTCCTATTCCACTGTTTATGCTTTCGAATTCCATTGCATCAATCCCACTTGTAGTATGCCGAAAGCAGATGGTGGATAAGTATCTGTCTCTCTCATGAGGTTAAACAGTCATCACCTCGGTTACAGACTGCGAAACAATGCGAATTGTTCTATTACTCCGGTAATGGTGGGAATGAGAATCGATTTCTGAAGAAGGCGAAATGCGAACGTCTCTGTCTTGGAAGTTCGTTTAACTTTTTCTTTTCCTTTTTGATCTCTTCATCACTTGTCTCAGCAATAGTCTAAAGCGAAAGGCTTGGTATGACTGAAAAATAAATGAAATATTATTGTAGTAGGTTCTAAACAAGCTCCCGTTTTTGTTAATCTGTTTTTTTTTTCTTTTGAGAACCAGGATAAGATTTAGCTACATCTACTTAACAGAAATATTTATTAGCCGGAGCGGTATACATGAGTACCTCCATTGAGCAAAAATAAAAAAGTAGGTGATAAAAATGGCGATATCGCGAAGCATGAAGGGGATGAATAGCATCAGATATTGAGCAATTGCTTTCCGTCCGGGTAAGCAACCCATTTATTGTGGTTACACAGTGCGAGAACGAAAAATCTGTAGCAGTAGAAGAGGCCTATAGCTCTCAGGATTTGATCGAATTACCGTTCCTACGAAAAATGAGGAGGAGACGGCAGACAACTCAGACGTCGTTCCTGCAACCTGGATGGAAGGAACAGTAGTAGCATTGGAGAGGAAGCAGGTGAAAAGGTTGCAAGAAACTAGCAGCTAAAAAGAGCTGCCAAGGAATGACTAGAAGTCATAACGGACTGAACAGTTATGAAGAAGCCACTAGGAATCTCTCGTCAGAAGTGTGGCATTCAACAGCTTGCTGCAAAACTTTTGAGTTATGGGCCGTCTTCTTGAAACTGGATCGAGTCATTCAATTGTCCTTACAGAGAAAAACAAGAAACAGAGTACAATGGCCGTGGTAACTTCTACGATAGGAACTCGGCCAGTGACAAGAATATTCCAAGAACTTCATTCTACCGAAGCAACTATAAGTGAGTTAATGATTAAAGCCCTCTTTGTGTCTCTGTCTGCTCTGAAGAATCCAGGATTCTTCTGGTTCTTGTAGTTTTGTTCAGTCAATTCGGGTGAAGACGGAGTGCTCTTCTAACTAAATCAAACAATAGAGTGCTCTGAATGCTTTGAAACAATCTCATTCGAACCCCTATTTTCTTTGTTTATTGTTTCCGAGAACTACAGGAGAGCGTACTGATGTGATTTCCAGTTTTCGGATCAGGATCTTTGAAGCGGTCACTTGTGCATTTGGGAAGATCAGAGCATGGCTCAAATGCCCCTTTATGCTTTTTCCTTTCTGCTTTATTGCCAATAACTCTTTTTTATGGTTTGTCTTCTGACAACATCTTCTTTCTCTTCTTCTTTTATCCTTTCTGCTTTCTATATTGACTAGAATACTGGCCTTTCCAATGAAGTTCTACTGGCGAGGTATGAGGAACACCTGTATGTGTGTGTCAAATAAACTGAAATGATTAGCGTACTACACCCCGATGTATAAGGGGCCTAAACAGCTTCCTCATTAACAATTGGATAACATATTTTTCAGTTCTAACAAACAACAAATTCGT